CCATGAGGAGCAGACGAGTAACCATCTACAACTACACGGTTTGACCTATCTTTCAGATTTATAATTTATTTGCACATGCAAATAAACTATTTGACACACAGCATACAAAATACAATTTACGTTGGTAGATTATTGTAAAGTATCGTGACGCCCTGTAAAAATATGGCAAATAATAGAGGGATTTTTTGTAATTGAAAATTTAAACCAACGAAATACATATTTAAAACAATAAGAATCTTTGCCTATCAGAGTGGGGAGGATGGCGGCTAAATTAGGCACATAAAACATCTACTTAAAGCCACGAAACGAAATGCAATTAAAAAAAAACGAAACGAAGTATAACTAATAAATTTAATGGAATAGAATTCAGATTTAAGCGACGTTCCGATCACAATAATACAGATACAGTTGTCGAGCAGCGCATAATGACTTCCGCAATCGAAACCATCTATTTTTGCAGAGTTTTCGTGAGATTTTTCATTGTGATCAACAGATATTGCAAACATTGAGTTTCTTAGTGTATATTTTATCATTTTACGTGTTCCATTTTAATATTATTTGTTCTACTTTATCGTTTTGCTATTTTACATGAGCTTAATATTTATTTAAGGAATTTCTGTTGGTATTTTTTTCTTAGAGTTGAAATACAGCTCCCTGTATGTAGTTAATGATAATTTTTGAAAACAAAATTTATTTATAAATTTATAAATACAAATCTAAAAATGTTATTGACGCTTTTAAGTTAATAGGGAGTAAAGATGGCAATATTTTTAGAATTTGTCAAATTATGGTTACGAATTTGCCAAAGAACCAACACTAGTAAGTACTTACAAGTCCCCACAATCGCCATTAAATGTTAAACAACATCTCAGGTGCCACTCATGGAAAAACAGAAGGCATGTTCGGCATGTTGGAAATTTGTGTTGTTTCGACGTTGTCTGTCAACTAAAGCATACCTCTTTTTATAATAATATTTTTCTTACAAAACGAGTTTTTTCACAAACAAGATGCAAATCAATTTTTACAATAGTTTTAACGGCTTGACAAGTTAGGTATTACCTGGTATTAGATAATTTATGTTTATTTGATTTATTTAAACGGAAGAACGGAGCCCTATAAAATTATTATTTATATAGATAGCTTTTATTAAATTGAAACATTGATTTAATAAATAATGTGCCAGACAACCACACCAACTAGCTGGTCTCAAACTTGGAAATTTCATATACTGTGAGTCCCAGAGCAACGTAATTCATACCGGGGTTACATTACGCAATTTCTAAATTATTAATAAATAATTAAATAAAATACGAAGGATGAATAGGTGTTGAAATGATTTTTTATTAAATTTTTAAGAATCTTTGGTTTCAAAATTATTCAGCTGAGTAAAGGGACTTGATTTGAATTTGAATTGTAAATGAGTAAACAAGGTATTGGGGGAGGCCTATGTTCAGCAGTGGACGTCTTCCGGTTGATATGATGATGATGAAACAAGATATTGTCAGAGGGGGTGCATTGACGTAGGACTTTGAATATGGAAAAACAAATTCTTACGCCCGATCGTCGTGTGTGTCTCTTCAAAAACATGCTTTAAAATTAATTGTAAAAAGTAAAAAATCGTGTAGTGTTCTTAGAACTTGATGAATGTAAAATGGATGTTATGATAGTCAATTTGTATAATCAATTAGTCAATTTTCAAAAAAAGAGTCAAATAAGAATAAATTAATCAGTTTTATAACACTAAAATGACTATAAAAAATAGCAAACAAAAATTTCTGCATTTCTTGTATAGTGTTAATTGCGTATAATTATGAGACGTTATTTTTAATGCAAGCATCGAGTACTTGAATAGGTTTTACTTCAAGCGGCTTTGAGAAATCATTTTAGCTCATTTTGTAAGCTACACAAGGACGACACAGATGTTGGACAAACACAACATATAAGACGATTATATTTACAGAATGTTGGACATACACGACATAGATTTGCTAATTACGGGACAATCACAATACATGTACGTACGCAAATGACGAAGAACAGCAATATATTTGGACAATACACAAATTGACGACGACTTATTTACAGGATGTTGGACGAACACAACACAATGTCCAAGGCCATCTAGGTCATGCCTGCTAAGACCTAACTGTACTCACTTTGAGTCGTTTTAGAAGAAGTTGACCTAGGGTTTTCTCGGCAGATTTTGTCCGCCATAGCTCTGGTAACTTAACTGTACTGGGCTGAAGCTGCAGGCAGCACAACTTTATTATTCTTTAGACAATTGCAAAGACAGTGTTTTGTTTTGTATCCTCTTGAGTGTAGAAAACACTCTGTCTATAGCTCCATCGCATTTGTAATCGACTTGCCGTTTTATCTCTATTGCCAGCCCTGAACCAGCTACATCTCACACTTTATCATTTTGTCATTAATCAGTCTTAATAAGGTTTCGACTGTCTAACACCGAAAAAAATCTGATTCTTATCAAATGGAGCATGGAGGACATCAAGAATAAGGATGATTCCTTACTCTTGAAATCCTCCATGCTGCACAGCAGCACATCACAGTTCTGATTTAATCATACGAATATGATTAAATTAATTACTTAAAATTGTTGTTGTAACCAATCATACTCAAAATATATGAGCTTATCGAACGCAATGATTGCAGTATATTGCATTTAATTATGTTTTGATCGATTCAATCAAGAAGTGTCATTGATTCCATTAAGTTTCATTTCATAAGAGTCACATATTTTCAGTGAATGATGTAAAGCTTAAAATTTTCCTATATTAACTACAGTCAGGTTTTTCCTTTCGCGTTTACGATTACAAACACGATTAGTAAGTAACATAGGTTAGAGACTTTTGGTTTGTGTAGAGTAGACAATTTTTTGCAAAATAAACTATTTGTTTAGTGCTAATTAAAAACTTTTCAGTAACGGTAAGGTTAAACTTATTGTAGGTCTAACTACGCTTATCTATACGCTTAGACATTGTTTTGAAGCAATGTGAAATTACAACATTTATTTATTGTGCTTTGTAGAGTGGTAGGGTGTGAGTGATTTGAAAAATTAAGATATATATATACCTTTTGAAAATAATTGTGTGTAAGTTTGGAGGTACAGTACTATCTTTTAGAGTTCAAGTTTCGGAGTATTGACTCTACTTTTCTCGTTCATAAGTTACTGTACTTAATAAATTAATATACTAGGTCAAATGTCGATTCCCAGTCTTTCTGTTAAAATGTTTTTTTACTGTACTGTACATTTCTGCGCGCAGATATACATATATTTTTTCTAACAGTTCGCCACATTTGCGAGTTCTAAAATTTACTGTTGAATGTTTGACCTCAATTATCTTATTCATAGATAGAAATTCGAAATTTGGGCTTCACCAGTCACCAAGCCACACGCGTCCATAGCAATTGCAGTGCGATTCAGTCTTAAATCGCAAAGTTCTGAGGGGCACTGTCAGTGTTCCTGTCACACTAAAATATAAGTTATTGAAAAGTCCCATGTGCCAATAATTTATGCGACTTTCAAATGTCATACCGTAAATCTGTTTATAGATAAATCTGTTTGAGTTGATGTTAAGAAAGCTTCCCTCGCTTCTCTCGCTGCGCTTCTACTACCTATACTGTTTAAATTAAGCCGGGTTTTCACTATACAAGTTCGCTCGGACCGAGTCCACTCGAACGTCGAGATCTGATCAGAGTGAACTTGGACGCGGTTCTATTTTCCGAGTGTACTCAGATCATTTTATGAAAACAAAATGGCGTCAACAAAAAAGTTGAATGAACTTGACTCCATGAGGTTTTAAACGTGTTTTTATCTTTCTCTTCCACTTCTCGAATAAAATTATTTGAAGCCCGCAGTTGGTCAAGTCTTAAAATCTATTTTCTGGTCCAAATTTTTCTTTTTTGCTTTGTTTTTTTTCCTGCCATGATTCAGACATTAACTGTCTAACTGACGAACAGGGATCCCTAGTGCGGGGTTATTAGTGTGCACGTCATTTATATATTTGTTAACATATATACCTCACAGCAGCAGATCAGTCGTCATCGTCTTGATAGTGCAAGAAGACAAGTGCTACTTGGATGTTGTTGAACTCGTAAGGTGTAAACTAAAATCCGAGTGGACTCCTATACGATCTAACACGTACGAGTGCACTCGGTCCAAAGAGCATTTGTATAGTGAAAACCCGGCTTAAAGGTTTTCCCATAATATATAATAATATAATGAATAATAACTATATTCGCCTGCTTCCGTATAACTCAAATCATTTCACGACTTTAGAAAATAGTATTGTACTATGTATTGCAAAATTATATATCAAACTTAGCACCATATATGTGCGAACGTATAGGTGTAAACCGTAAATGTGTTAAATATAAATCTTCTATTATTATAGAGTAAAAAACCTGTGCTTGTGTATGAGTATAGGACGTAGTTTTATATTAAAAGCATTACATATTTATTAAGTTAAGCATGAATTTTAATTATATACTTAAGTGTAATATTGTAACCCTTAGCTTTAGTATTTTTGATTATCCTGTCACCCCAAGGTTGTCTAGAAGTGATTATTATTAGCAATACAGCCCCTGTCTTTTGTGTTTTGTCGCTGTAGTTTGTTAAGTGAAATCTATAATTGTGTAACATTCATAATTTAAGGTTTATTATGATTGACAGATATCGAAGTAAAGGGTGTCTGGGCAGATCATAGACAAACTAGCTAACTCCGTAGTTGCAGTTTCTTCAATCGATGAATGATACTTATAAATCTTGTTGTTACGTAACATTAATTTCTTTGCTAGAAAATTTATTTAAATATATTATTTACATTTTTTTGTAAAAAGAAACTTCAGATAGAGAATAGTTTTCGAGATCTAGGTACTTACTTCTCGAGAAAAAAATATGGTGTAGGGTGTAGGTAGGTAAATATGAAAGTTCGGTATATTGTTTGTTACGATTTAGAAGAAGTATATATATAAAAGTATAATACCTTCTTGGGAGCCATTACAACACGTTAGTTTGAAAATACGTTACTGCATCACAAAATTAAATTAATTCAGACTTCATACAAAAACGTAATTGTTGAAAGTTTGACAATTTCGTAAATAAATTTCACAAAATTCGAATTGTGGATTATACTGCGCGCGCAGAGGTCGGTTGTCATGGAAACAGGGTGGGGGGCGCTCCCCTTTGAGACCGTAGTTTCGTCAGGGAGAGAACTGTAGCTCCTCCGTGACGTATTTGATTTCTGCCGGCTATCGCAACATCTACGGATTTCGTGGACAGCATTTTCCCTTCAATTGGTAAGATTCCTTTATAAATCTTTCTCAGTTGATAATAGAACGTTTCAGATGATGAATTGTAAAGACAGTAATGTTATGAAAATAATTGTGTTTTAAATGATGCCTTGTTGGAAATGCAATCCGTTAAGTGCCTAATGGTATTACTCGGATGTCGATAGTGGCTTCATATGACACGTTGTTATAATAACATTAGTTTCGTTATCGATCGTTATGAATTATATTTCGTTGAATAAATCATATAATCTTCAGGCAGCTGTGCAAGTGACGTTTAAATATTTACTTTATTGTTCCAGTGGTAAGGTCGAAAATAGTAATGTGATTAATTATATATTTTCTAATTTCTATGCTATTTTTGAAACATTTATAAATAAAATAAGCTACCGATATAATAACTTAAAAGCAAATGTGATTTTTTGAACACCAAAATTCTCTTGCGACCATAGATTTCAGGTAATGTGCCGTATTGATTTAGAGGTGCATAAAACGCATGTGCCATCTGTTGCAGATTGATTTTCCAGAAATAGTTATAGTAGTTTCCAAGACATATTCCAGAAAAGTATTAGGTGCCATGTAATAGAAATCACCAATAATAGTTTCGGAAATGTTGTGTATCAGAATAAAACAACAGGACAGATCATCTACATACAGTATTTAACTTTTTCACCCAATGTTACGTGATTCCCGAAATTAAAGTCATCTTGTAATCGTTTTTGACATGTTATTGTTTTTTAGAAACCTGTTTATATTACATAGAAAATATCTTAATCGTTACGTTAATTAAATACAGTGGAAAGATTACTTATAAATCATAGTTACCTAAAGTCAATGCGTGGCCTTCCTTGAAAAAGTAAAGATTTGAATAAATTTATAAACAACAACTCCTATTCTCTTTCAATTATGATAATTATATAATCTGACTATATAATATGATAATAATAATAATAATAATAACGCACACACTCGACATAGCCCCGCACTAGGGAAACCCTGTGTCGCGGGTGCCATGGACACACATAGACAACCACAAATTACGCCCAAAATCACGAGAGAAATAAATGTAGACCATATAAATTATTCTCCCGGCCCGGGAATCGAACCTGGGACCTCTGCGTGGCAGTCCGGCATGGTAACCGTTCGGCCACGGAGGCAATTATATCTCGTTTGTGTGTCGGTAGAGTGTTTAATGGCAGGATTTTGTACGTCTGATATTCTGCTAAAACGTCACTCGTCAGTGGTTAGTCATCGAGCTACTATTCAACTGCCATTGCATTTTTTTGGTATTATAGTCTTCAATGGCGAGTCGAGGGCACGTCGACGTAGTCTATTAACTCATCACGTATGGAACGGTACATAGTACATCTCCGTCTGATCTATTGCAACAGGTTAAGTCAAAGTCTAAGAATTATTTATTCCAAGGGTAAAATAAATTTACATTTGAAAACGTCACTTTTAAGCTACTGCTCGTTCACTACGCTGAGTTCCCTAAGATGAACGGGCAAGAAACTCTAGGGATTGCTCTTTTTAAATAAACTTAAAAGCTATGGATTACACTTTAAACTGCTTTTGGTGGCACTATGGAGATAAATTAATACATTAATCAACTGACGATTGTAAAGTGATTTAATACAAATAAGAAAAAGTAACAGCTTAAAGCTGTAAAGTGGTGCTATAAGCTATCACGGTACAGGTTGTTCTTACAGCTACTGGCTGCTTTAACATTGAATGCTCTTTTGTAATGCTTATTAACGTATGTTAACGCTATCGCTCTATAGCAGTCTTATATTTATCTTCTAGCGCTAAATGTCGCTTATTGTATTAAATCAGCTATATTAAAATCTTAAAGCTATATAAATGTTATAACAGTAATTCTTATAACTCTAATCGACACAGTGATATGACGGAGTTAGGATATCCCGTTGAATCACTGTGTAGTTATAATTATTAATACAAAGATCAAACACTCAGAAAAAAATTCTTCGATTCGGCCGGATTCGAATCGACGTCTTTTAGCATATCGTGCCAGACGCTATAACAATTAAGCCACGGAACGAACCAGCGGACCTCACAAATTTTTCTATGAACTTGTTGTCGTGTCGTTGTGTTTGGTTTTTGAACGACTTTGTAGTCGTAGCGCCATCTATGAGAAATCTATTAAAATTTTATCACCTAGTTAGATACCAGCTACCGGCTCTGGCGAGAGAGGTCCGCTGATTCGTTCCGTGGCTTAATTGGTATAGCGTCTGCCACGGTATGCTAGAACACGTCGGTTCGAATCGGGCCGGATCGATGGAATTTTTCTGAGTGTTCGATCCTTGTATCAATAATAATAACACACTAGTTGAGTAATTTCACAAAAAATAATTGAATATCAATTAATAAAAATTTAAAATCACTGTGTAGTTGTTTTGTGCTATAAGAGAAATTGAAGAAACGTTACTCTTAAAGCCATTTTAAGATGTTCCATATTTAAGATGCCCTACTAAATCACCCAAAGCTGTTTAACAAGACTGCTTGAAGTCAAAAGTTAAAAACTAGGTTCTGAATTAAGTTAGAGCACTAGAATCAGATTAAATTGTGCTTTTAAAGGTAAGATAGAGATATTGGAGTGATTAAGAGTTACAGACGATAACGCCATTTTTATTTACAAATATAACCTGAAAATGCCAGAAATGACATGGAAATATAGTTTAATTTATTGTTCAGTCTTTAAATAATATAAGATATATTTATCTTAGGATACCCATTCACAATGCTAACCCGTTAAATTAACATAATTACAAAAAAAATGTTCCATTAGTCTTTTTATATTTACGATTTATATTAAAACGTAAACATATTTAAAAATTTAGATTGAAAACATCATATATAACAACGTATATATATAACATCATATATAACGGAAAACTTACAACCGCAATAGTATCTTCCTTATTTACTTAGTAATAATGGTTGTCAAAAATTATAAAAATACTAACGCACACACTCAACATAGCCCGCACTAGGGAAAACCTGTGTCGCGGGTGCTATGGACACGCCCTCAGCGTGATGAACCTGGGACCTCAGCGTGGCAGTAACCTTTCGGCCACTGAGGCAATTAAGTACTTAGCATTTCATTTCTAACCCGTTGCCATTACGATCACGATATTAACACACACAACACGCGTACTATGACATAATGTTTAGTACGAGGTAGAGATATTTCTATAAAATTGCGTAAAAAAATAATACAATACCATGCAACGAGCTTTTTGTCACTATTTCAGCGTATTTGTAATTTAAGCTATAAAAGAAAACATCTTACAGTTATCATAGAACTTTGGGCAAAAAATACGGCTATAATATACGGTAATAAGAGTCGCTACTGTAGCACTACTATACCACTTGTTTACTACTATTGGAGTTATATCAACCTACTAAAGAGTCTCTAAGTATAACGTCGGTGCTTAATTCAGACTATAAGAAGTCGTACAACTATAGGTGTTTAAGGGAACTGATAAACAGTCGTTATAGAGCTTGTTTTTTATCGTTAAGTTTTAGTTGGATAGTTAGTGGTTCCTAGTTAAGGCAATTCAGAACCTTCCTGTATATGTCGTGCAAAGCGACCTGTGAATAAAATATATAGGAGATGTACTAACAGTGTCTCCTTGAGTGCCACTTTAGAACTTCACGACTGTAATAAATTTTCGTATTTTTGTTTAAATCCGTTTTCTACCAAGATCGTTAACATTGTTTAATGTACTCGATGTCGACAGTCGCATCAATCTTTTTTGTAATGTCTTTGTGAATATAAAACATGTTACGATCAAGGACTTCTTATAGAGTGGCTAAATAAGGCGGTCGTTATGTATTCTCTTAGGTGCCGACATAGCTAGTTTTGAAACGTAATTGGGTATGAAACGTAATAGAGACATCTAGAGATTAATAGTCTTTAGGAATTAAGGTTAATTTTGTATTTATTTTTTTATTTATCTGATTATCTGTGTGTTGTCTTTGTTCTGTAACGTATATTGGGAATATAAGAATGTTTGAACATGAATTTGAAGACCAGGAATAGACGGTGTAAATTCCGCTTTGTCACTATTCGAAATTGAAACATTTTTATTGTTTATTATTTTCGAACATTTTTTTATTATGCTATTAATTGTAATATAGTAATAGTAACTATATTTATTCACAAAAATAACATTTGGTGGTACATTACGTGTGTGCAGTTTTTTGTAACAATTAAGTGATACCCTGACTTCTAAATTAAGAAAACTTGTATCTTAGGAGTCAGTGATCCATCATGAACACAATAATTTTTAGGCAACAATTATTGATAAGATTAAGTTGGACGTAAATTTTTCAAATTCTGGAAATTAATCGGTAGATATTGTTTTATTTCAGGGGTGTTAACTAGTAAGTGGCAACAGAAAAAGCTTCAAGCTGGCAGGCGAAGGAATTCGACGGGGCCGCAACGGGCTGCTGGTAGACGCTCCGTTCTACACGGAGCGGGAGGACAGCGGTATCGACAGCGATGATGCTGCCTACCGTGGTCAGTGGCCCATCTGTAACGGAAGAGGTGATGTAAGTTAATTTTTTTTTATGATGAGACGGGACGAGCTAGTTGCACGACTAGTGGTAATCGACACTCCTATTCATGACAGTTGCAGTGCCATTCAAAGCTTAAAATCGCCAAGATCTGAGGGACACTGCCACTGCGCCCGTCACCCTGAGCCATCATTTGACATATCCCATGTGCATGTAATTTCACCAGCACCCTTACCCTTCAAAACTGGAACACAGTAATGCTCACATTACTGCTTGACGGCAGGAATAGGTGGCAGTATTTCCCCGGACGAACTCTTTCACAAGGAGCTCTACCGCTACGAAACACGCCCACAAATCTACATATCTGTTATTTTTTATTATTTACCTACTTATGTAATTTTTTTTCAATCACATATTGCAAATACTTATAAGCGAAGATATTAAAATGCAGTACACTACTTAGTTTTTACCCAAAAGGTAAATAATTTGTTGAATTATAAACTTCTTAGATCCACTCAAGTATTTTTTTTATTTTAAGTATATGTTGCAATCTACAATAACTACTGATACTACTAATAGCTTTCTTATCTTTTTAGGCGAGTGACCAGAGTGGTAGCGAGGAGGAGCCAATTGTGAAACAGCCGTGGATGAGGGGCAAGACCAATGAACAGATATTTTTTGTAAGTTGGTATACCTCCATAATAAATTGAAAATTTTAAGACGAGTTTTTGTTGTAAACCTTATTTTTGTCCTGTACACTAAATTCAAAGATTTTTTTTTTAAATATACACGCAATAAGTATATATTATATTATATTATATAAGTATATATACTGCCTCCGTGGCCGAGCGGTTACTCAGAGTTCCCGGGTGCGATTCCCGGGCCGGGAGACATATTAGTATGGACTACATTCTATCCACTCGTGAGTATGGGTGTAATAGGCGCAAAATAGGCGCCTTGACGTCGAGTTGCGGACACTAGCCCGTTACACCAAGTACCAAGTACCAAGTATGGGTGTAATTTGTCGTTGTCTATGTATGTGTTCATGACATCCGCTATACAGGTTTTCCCTAGTGCGGGGCTATCAGAGTGTGCGTAAAAAAAGTGTCGATATCAGTTTCCGTTGCTGCTGTAATATAATATTTAGTTCGAATAAGTGGAGATTTTCTTAAACAAATTCGTACTTTAATTAGCAATTCTTCTAATTATCTATTTATTCTTACAAGATAAACTATTGTGACATTTGGAAGTGAATAAAATGGTCTTATTAACACACAAGCACTTCATAGTATCACATTTGACTGCCTCCGCGGCCAAACGGTTACCATGCCGGACTGCCACGCAGAGGTCCCGGACCGGGAGAAATATTTATATGGCCTACATTTATTTCTCTCGTGAGTTTGGGTGTAATTTGAGGTTGTCTATGTGTGTGTCCATAGCACCCGCGACACAGGGTTTCCCTAGTGCGGGGCTATGTTGAGTGTGTGCGTGAGTGCGTTATTACATTGCTTTGTGCACCTTTTAAATACATTTAATAAATTTTATACATTGCCTAATGCACGTTCGGCATTGTATAGAATACCTAGACCAGAGGCTCTAGTACGACAAGGTGCGACTCGCGCGAGGGCCACATAAACGCGAGATCAAATTGCGAGAACGAGCTTTATGTGGCTCTCGCGCAAGTCGCGCACTGTGTTGCTAGCTCTACAAGTGTATAATAGAGATTATTTCATTAATTGCCTGACTGTTTTGGGTATTCTATAGAATACCGCATCAAATACATTGCCGATAACATAATGTCATTTTTCAATGTATGAATTGCAGAAAGCAAGGGCCGAGCAGCAGCAGCCAGAATCAGATCACGGGCACGATGTCCTCTGGGAATTGAAACGCATTCGTCAAGAATTCATCAATGGTTGCGATCACCTTGACACTGATCGAGGTTCTTCGCCACTCTTCGAAATCGAATTGACGGCGTCAGACGAAGATGATGACACCTCCGTGCTAGAACTTGTGATCCCTATGCAACCTTCAAAATACCAGAGGGTGCCAACATCTTCGCCGATGAAAGCTGTACCGGTTGCCCCGACCTTTTTCTGCAACATGTTCTGCTGTCTGCGTAAGTGAATCGTTGTTCAGTTGTTTTGTCTTTTTAAGATTGGCAAATATTTTGTAAGGTACAGTCAAGAGCACATCAAACTTGACACTTTGTGCTTTGGACCGTTCTTGTCGTAAGCGGCATAGAGTTGGATTTAAGTCTTAAGTGTCAAACTTGACGTGCTCTTGACCTTGTATCTCGCTATTTTGTGGAATTCAATTTTAATTTTTTCACTTAGTAACACATATATCGCTTTGAAAGGCGTCAACTTCCAGCGTAAGTTTTGTATTTTTTATTAATAATTTTGTTTTTATTTGAAAATGAGGTTCGTGTTGTATTTTGTTATTTTATAGCAAAGAAAATGTAAAATAAAATTGGACCAGTGGGGTAAAGAAAAATAAATGCAAATGGTTGGAATAATGTTCCAATCATGATATTATAACTAATGAGTAAGAATTAAAGAATGCTATATTAATTTGTAAGGTACCTATTTATGAAAATATTGGAGAAACAGGACAATTTGCATTTATTTTATTCTGAAAACAACTTTTCTTTAGCAATGTGTATTACATTGTTTCAATTCTGAAGTTGATGTTGAACTACCCACTTATATAGCTTTTGAAAATATATGTTCAGTTTTATGAAACAGATTTTCAATAAATGGATTTATTCGACTTCATTGAATTGCGATTGTTTGGTTTTCCACTAGTCTAGTAATTTTTTTATTCACTTATCTTAATTTATATCTTACAATCATATTGTCTGAGCTTATAAGTAATGTTAATTTTAATATTGTATTTTTTGTAAGAATATGCTAAATATTTATACTAGTATGCTATTCAACAACACACGAAGTAGACGCGTAACAGTAGGAATTAACTTGTATTTGATGTTTTAGTATTTCACAATATTGTTGTATAACATAAGTTTGCCAATATTCACGGAAAACGAAATCTTGGATTTCTTACAATATTATAAATAATGTATATTAAGTAAATACTAAATGAAACTAAAAATAGGTGGAAAAACTTCGCGTTGCGTACTTTAAGCCCTTTTTCATTGCCCTAAAGTTTATTGAGCCTTTATCATTATTTAGTGCTAAAATTATCAAGTCAAATATGCACAGGCCACAGTCGATAAATTCATAACAAAGTTCCGTTCCAAAATCTTTCTGAACTGTGTCCTAATTTTTTGTAATAGTTGTTCAGTCTCTTTTAGTGAAAAAAACTCGAGTCCGGGAGTCTATATGTAAACACGACTCAATTTTGCACGGCTCGGTAGCCTAAAACTCAAGAGTCAGAGTCGACTCGAGGGCGAGTCATCAAAGGACGGATTCGAGTCTAAAAAGGACTTGAGTCGTAAACCCAACTCAAGTTTTCAACAAAACTCGGCTCAAAGCGACTTCTACTCTACGAACTCTCGAGTACGACAAGCAAGGTTCAATTTTATTGAACAACTACTATTGTCCACGAATTAAATAAAAAACAAAAATCCAACATGGTGATTTAAAAAAGACGCTATTAATGTTTAATTATTCTACAATAATTATACTACAACTTAACACACCACATCACGACACCGCTCAATTGGTACTTACCAGACTCGAGAACGACTCGTTACGTAAAGAGACTCGAACCCGAGCGTGACTTGTTACATAAACTCGAGCACTGATGTCTAATGTGGAGTCTCTGTCTATGAGTCGAGTTTTGTGAATTAGAGGTGAGTCCTAAAATGTGATGTACATACTATTCTCTTTTAGGTTGTTTGTACTAATCGAGTTCTTTGGTTTTCGCCATTGTTACACATAGGAAATGAAACTATTTTTCCGGGTTTAAATCGCGTATATTTGTTTTTTCAAAGAAACCAACGTTTTGGGCCCTTTACAGGTTCCATGTCAATCGTGCCCATGAGACCTGTAAAAGGTCCGAAATGTTAGTTTGTTTGAAAAAACAAATATACGCGATTTAAATTCGGAAAAATAGTTTCATTTCCTATGTTTGTACTAAATTTGAAATCATTCTTGGCCGTTATGTTATTTTCAGAAAGGCTTGATATAATAGTACTGCATGCTAATATGAAAATAAATAGATTTTAAGAATATTATCGTAATTATTAAAAGGATGGCTTACGATTGCTAATTTTTTTGATGTCAATTTTTACGAAATACGTTATTTGGCCTAGTGTAAGGATTGAGATGTTTGCAGTCAATTAAGTTTTATTCCGAAGATGTTCAAAAAGATTTTTGTTTTATTCTAAAAGTATACGTTGAATCTTAGGTAATTAACTACATTCCTTTAAAGTCCTACTTACCTATTCATGGACAGTACTTACATTTAGACCACACAGAGGTAGCCGCCGCGCGTTTCAGTATGGCAGGGTTCATATAAACTCTACATAACAAAAATTACCGCGTCCAGACCGCTTCCGCGGCCCCCTTTGTGTGGCCAGAGCATTAAATAGTACCGCACACAAGTGTCTCTTCTTTGTGCCGTAGTGCTTATATTGTTTCAATGTAAAATGTTCAACGTAAATCATTGAATTTTGTCAGTACGTTGTTGATACTTCTCTACAAAGAAGCAGTAGGCGTCAACTTCACAGAAAATACTTGGAAATTACTGTAAAGCCCGTAGTTGTATTTTGAAATCCATATAGCGAAACGGGGTACATTGTACTATCATATTTTCCATTAACCGCCACCGTGGCAGAACGGTTACCATGCTGAGCTGCCACGCTTTCGGAGAAAAATCCTTTAAAATTCCTTCAATAATAATGTATTTTTTTATTTTATCCTGTCCAAGTAGATAACTACTTGTGACACCAAAGAAGCCCGATATATTTTCAGTCAATATTATAGTTATTTAAAAAATATCGACTTCTTAAGTTTTCGCGATTGTTACACATAGGAAATGAAACTATTTTTCCGGATTTAAATCGCGTATATTTGTTTTTTCAAACAAACCGACGTTTCGGGCCCTTTACAGGTCCCATGGTCACGGTTGACTGAGGTGGTACAGTCTTCAACCAGTTATGTCTAATATTAATGCAAACCACCCTATTTTTTCACTATAGTTACAATAGTTATTAATTAAATACCTTATTTTTAATTTTACAAAGAAAACATTCCAATTTACGCTACATTAAGTTTTACAAATTATTTTATTGAATGAATTTTTGTTAAGTTTAATTTATTATTAATTATTAATAGAAATTAGAATAAACTAAAACATATTAATTAGTACTGCAGTCTTTAGTCTGTTTGGGATTTTTCATTAGAGGAAATACTGGATCCCAAACTGGTGGTACGGAGAAACCATCTTCCCTGTTGAAATTAGGATGTTTTTTAATTTCAATGGCCTCTCGCAGCATCCTGGGTAGATAACGGACTTCTTTTGCAAGGACCTGGGGTTTGTCAAACTTCATTGAATGTGTATGTTTATCCTTGATATGCTCGCAGACTCCAGGCTTGTTTACGCGACGGTGTTTGACATCAGCTATATGTTCTTTGACGCGAGTACAAATACTTCGCTTTGTTTGTCCAATATAAGAGAGACCGCACTCACAGTCAAGCTTGTAAACTCCTGCATCCTGTAAGGGGATGTTACATTTCACGGGTCTCAGGAACTGAGAAATCTTCCTCAGGGGCTTGAAATAGGTCTTGATAGATGCACGCCTGAGGACTCTTCCGATCTTGTCTGTAACACCTCTCACGTAAGGTAAGATGGCAGGTCTTCGCTCGACTGTTGGTGGTTTCACACGGGGCCTGCGGCATTGGCGTGGAATCTTCAACTTATTCGCATGTAGGACTTGCTTTATATGCTGAAGTTCCCCTGCCAGATGATTACTGTCGCAGACACCATATGCTCTCTGAAACAAAGATTTGCCCACGGTAGCTAACTGGCTAGGATGGTGATGGGAATTACCATTCAGATACCTATCTGTATGGGTTTTCTTTCGAAATACAGTATAGCCTAAGGTGTTATTAGGGTTTCTTTTAATTAAAACATCTAAGAAAGCTAAAGCACCACAATTCTCTTGTTCCATGGTAAATTGGATCTTAGTACTAAAACAATTAAGATGGTCCAAGAAAGTAGGTATGCTATCTTTAGGTAATATTGTGAAAGTATCATCAACGTACCGTTTGAAAATCTTCGGCCTAGCTGGGGCTATGGGTAAAACTCGGTCCTCGAAGTCTTCCATGAAAATATCGGCAACAACGGGAGATACCGCAGAGCCCATCGCTATACTGTCAATTTGTAGGTAGAATTCATTATTCCACAATAGATAGCCTGATGTTAGGCAGTGTTCTAATAATTCTGCATATTCAGTGGACATATTATGTTCCCTCAGCTTTCTACGTACAATTTCAATGCAGTCTTTTACTGGTAGGTTGGTGAACAGCGACTGAACATCAAAACTGACCATGGTGTCATCATCAGTTAATTGTAGATCTTTGATTCCACTGATGAAATGGTATGAATCCTTCACATGTGTAGAAGTGTTCCCTCTCAATGGTGACAGTACCTTTGCCATGTGTTGAGCCAGTTTGTAGGTTGGTGTGTCAATCTGGCTAACTATGTATTTTTGGTAACCCATACAGTTTTGGCGGTTTAACGGAGCAGCGTATAAACTCACTTACATCAAGTTTCAGCGTATCGGAGTGCTTAGATATTAAGTTAGTTGTTGTTTTTAATATCTTGGTGGTAGCGTCTTTCTTCACTTTTTTATATGTGCTTTCATCAGATTTGCATTAATATTAGACATAACTGGTTGAAGACTGTACCACCTCAGTCAACCGTGACCGTCGGTTTGTTTGAAAAAACAAATATACGCGATTTAAATCCGGAAAATAGTTTCATTTCCTATTTAAAAAATATTAATTAGAAATATATTTTTGTTACAGTTTATGTTTTCAATGTTTTTCATTGGAACAGATTGTGAAGTTAGTTTATTTAGTTTTTCTTATACTATAGACTTTTTGAATATTTTATCTTTCTATTGTAAATTATGCCATATTTTTCTACACAGTTTTAGCAATATATTTTTGGTTATACCTACAAAATCATTATCTAATGTCGCCAGTATCATTCTGTTCAAAACTCGCTTTTATTAGATATGGTGTTGGATAAAATTTTGACTTAACGAGACTATAATAGCATAATTCAACTATTTCATCGGTATGAAGACTGATGTAGAAAAAATTGTTGTATACCAATTTACTTCAGTATATATTATGACTTTATTTACAAAAAAAAACTTTCGAATCTATCAAAGATGTGCGTTAAAAAATATCACTTACTGCG